GACTTATTTCACAATATCTCACTCACAGGCAATCCCATGCTCTTTCACACACAAAATTGCAGCGATAGTCGCCCTCGCGATATATATCTGCCTTTCCGCCGCTAATTTCTAAAAAAGACCTTAAATTTAGGCTGGCCGATCGCGTGCTTCCGGAATCGACGAGCTTCCGTTTGCGCTTACGAAGGAACGAATTTCACGATCGGGAGAATTTTTCTCACGTGATTACAATTTTCGCGTATTTACAATTTAACTGCGAGTCGAATTCCTCTATTCGTCTCCCGCGTCATAATGATTCGAGCCGTTAATTGCGAATGTCGTAGTCGCGTGAAAGGTCGTCCAGCCGGAAGTCGTGAGGCACGAAAAATTTATTTCTCGCTTATAAACTTCTTTTCCATTCGCCTATCTTCGATCTACACGCCCGCGAATCGGCCTCGCGATCTTGTCGAAATGATCTCCGTAGTTCGAGTCTCTTTATCGGACCAAGTTCCTCGATTGTCTTACCGTATAAATGTGATTCCTTTTTTCTTTTATCGCCGCAAACAATTCTATACCTCTCTAAATAAATTTCATTTCATGTATAGGAATTTCTTAAGAGAATTTGAAATTTTGCAAGAAAGATTTTGACGCGAAGATCACTTTCACCAAGCGCCAAGCCGACCCGCTCCGCAGACATTAACATCTAACAAACTCTTAATCCTCGATCGTAAGCCTAAAGGATGTTTCAAGGACGCGGATCTTTTCCCATCCTCGATCTCGCGTTGATTTCTTATGTTTATCGCGATCATCGATCATGCAGTGTTCAATGGCGTCTATGCGCGAGAACGCGTGTCGCGCGATTCGCGCATAGACGCGTACTTTTTATCAGATGTATCACTTACAATCTAATTACAACATCAAAAGTAATGTCGCAGTAATGCTCCAACGTGGAGTCCATTGCATTTTGATATGTTCGAGAGAATCGCGATGTCTCGTCGTGGTCCTTCCTCGCGCTGTATCGTGCGTCGAACGTCAAGATTTGAGGAGAAAACTTTTTGAAAAAATACTTGCGGTCGAAATGGCTATTTTTTTTTAGTATCAAACGTATTGTTTTTGGAAATCGCTAGAAAGGACCGCGACGAAGCGTCGTATACTTTTTCGTGTAACGAATTTCGCGCGTTTCGTGTAAATCAAACACATCTTTCGAGCGTCCTAAATGTAGAGCATGATAACATGATTGATCGATAAGAATTGAGCATGTTTCTCGGCTAAAGACAGTATAGTAACGAAGGCCGAACTGGATCGTGGAATGAAAATTGTGGATTGAAACATTGGTATCTCACATTCCGATCGGACGTAAGAATAATTGCTCCTCGAACCAAGAGGAGAGACGGTGTTCGAGAGACCTTTTACGCAATCCCGTTCGCCCGCCGTCCTTATACCTGGAAAAGGTAATTGACGGTCGACTGACCAGAAAAATTGATTCCAGTATAGCTATCGATACACGCTAGTAAGTTTTGAATTCTCATCGAACACTGCCCACGCACGCGAGACGAAATCGAATCGTCGCGTACGTGGTAGGGAAAAGACTAGGTATTTTTTTCCAAATTTCGAATTTTCCTTCCACGCGTGCCCGGAGCTCCTTCCGTCGCACAGAAGCACCCTTTCGTTTCATCGACGTATTATCATCATTATCATCATCAACAACAACAAAAAGAACGTTCCTAGAGATACGCATCCGT